TTTACAATTATCTTTGTACAGAGAAAGATTCAGAAGGGTTACAGCGTATACAGTCATGCGTGGTGATTTACTGCTCATTGTTACGTTTCTGAAAACGAATGGAAAATTTGAGTCAGATGAACTGATAAATTAGGCATTTCCCGTCTCTGATGTGCCAAAATTATAGACGATGCATAATCATGGAAATGTTGTATGTGAAACTGGTGTATAGAGCAATCCTATGTTAATCCTTTACCCCTGTGACCGTAAAGGGGATAATGTTTCCCACAATTCCTTACAACATATCTACAGACATATGTCATCAATGTGACCTGACTAGACTTGTGTAACTTGAAAAGTTATATGTGTATATGTATGTATGTATGTGTGTATATATATATATATATATATATATATATATATATATATATTATATATATATATATATATATATATATATATATATAATATATAATTTTTTTTTTTTTTTTTTAACTTTTATTGGAACACAGAAAAAGGCGTTTTATTACGCATTTTGTTTTACTACAGTACACCTAAATAAAACCTATTTGCAAAAGGTGCGTGTGTGGTTTTATTTATTTATTTATTTTTTACTTTTTGGGGTTTTTTTTTTACTTTTTGTTTTTTGTTTTTTTTTTTTGTGGTTTGGCTCTCCGTGCCTAGTGATGGCTTTAAGGACACCTGGTGTGGGTGAAAATTGCACAGCGCCGTGGTAGTTCATTGAAAACTACAAGCAGACAGCTGGTAAGGCTGCTGGGACTTGTAGTTCATTCATTCACAGAAGTCCATGAATGAATGAATGATGTGGCCATGTGGGCGGAGCCCCGCACGGCCGCGCTGTTTGCAAATTTGACAGTACGGAGAGAAGTCTCCCCCGTACTATCTGTCAGAGGAAGGGGGGGCAGCAGGCTGTGGCTGCAGCTATGGGAACATGTTACATCAGGGGTGTCAAACTGGCAGCCCTCCAGCTGTTGAGTAACTACAAGTCCCATCATGCCTCTGCCTTTGGGAGTCATGTTTGTAACTGTCAATCTTGCAAAGCCTCATGGGACTTGTGGTTTGGCAACAGCTGGAGGGCCGCCAGTTTGACACCCGTGCGTTACATGTTCCACTCTAAAAACGGGCATGTTACCAAAGGTGAACTTTAAATTCCACACTTTGGTTGGATATTCAATTTAGAGATTTTTAAATCTAGACCTAAAAAAAAAAATCCTCAAAAATAAGCACCTCAGCTCCTGAAGGTTTCACCCCCTTCATGACCAGGCCATTTTTTGCAATTCAGCACTGCACTACTTTAACTGGTCATGCAGCGCTGTACCAAAATGATATTGAAATTTTCTTCTTTTTTTTTTTTGTACACAAATAGAGCTTTCTTTTGGTGGTATTTGATTACCGCTGGGGTTTTTTTTTATTTTTTATTATATAAACGAAATAAGACCCAACATTTTTTATTTTTTTTTAAAAGCTTTCTGCTATATAAAACATCCAGTAAAAAAAATTAAATTTCTTCATAAATTTAGGCCAAAATGTATTCTGTTACATACCTTTTTAATAAAAAAAAAAAATCCCAGTTAGTATATATTGATTGAAAGTTATAGCGTCTACAGACTATGGTATATACAGTCATGGTCAAAAATACACTGGCCCAGAAAATTGTTGCAATTACAAATATTTAGGCATTCTCGTGTTTATTTCTTTTGTTTGTATTGGCATGACACAAAAAAGTGGAGAAACAAAAAGCCAAATCTGACTCATTCCATTCTAGGTCGGCGGGGGGGGGGGGGGGGGGGGGCGCACGCCCGGAAGAGGCCAGAGATGTACACGTATGTCTCTGTGCCTGTATGGGCCCCCATCTGCAGTACATTGCAGGCAGGCGTTCCACAAGTAGGTAACCAAAAAAGTAATTGATCCTGAATGTATCATTATCAAGATCAGGGGCGGACTGACCATTTGGAAACTCGGGCACTGCCCGAGGGCCCTGGGGTCAGTAGGGGGCCCCATGAGATGCCCCTGGTACCTTTTTCATAGGCTTTTTTGAGTTTGGGCAAGGACACAGGGGCCCCATGATCCCCTATTACCTGGGGGCCCCATGAGTTGTCAGTCCGCCCCTAATCAAGAGTATGAGGCACTAGTTTTGGTTGACAGAAAACCAAACTCGAACTTTTTTTTTTTCTTTTCAGTGTAGTTCCACACAGACTGAGGGATACACCAGTGTTCACTTGTTTATATGACCAGAAATGATCACAGACCTTGTTTAATGTCTAGCCGATGATCTGGTCTATGTACACAGTGCTGATGATACAGTGCTTGAATCTGCATGCCGCCTTTTCTTCTTGCAGAGTCAGCACGCCCTTCACAACGTGTCAGCTCAGAAAGACGTTCAGCAGCGACAATTGTTGACATCAACGTTTTCGATGAGCTAATTAAAGAAGATGATTCTGGTGTCTGCTTAGGATTTGTTTTTGACAGGTGTCACTGCAAATATTTTCATGTTCCTTTTGTGCAAGTATTGAGTTAATACTCATATCAAACACTCTCCTATACGTGACCCAATGTAAAGATCCTGCCACATTTTATCTTGCTGAAAGGGACTCGAGGTTTCCATGTCAGTAGCTTGCTGGACCTTGAAATCTTAATATGTAGCTCTCGAAGGTTCCTGCTTTTGCTAGACTGGCACAGATTTAAAGTTGTTTATGTATTCTGTTGTTGTAGCCTACGGGAAAAAGTTTGGAGCTTTTGGAAGCTTGTCAAGTATGTGCTAAATTAACTTCATGCTAATTCTGTGCTGGGTTTCCTTCTAAGGTTGTTATTACGCCTTTTGCTCTTTGTGGTATGCTTTTGTCTTTCAGCTCTGCTTGGGTTATAACCATTTTCATCTTTTTATTAACCACTAGCCTACAGGGCACTTATACCCCCTTCCTGCCCAGGCCAATTTCCAGCTTTCAGCGCTGTCACACTTTGACAATTGCGTAGTCATGCAACACTGCACCCATATGAAATTTTTATCATTTTTTTTGAGACAGAGCTTTCTTTTGGTGGTATTTAATCACCTCTGGGATTTTTATTTTTTCTTAAACCAAAAACCACTGAAAATTTTGAAAAAAATGGTTTTTTTTTTAGTTTTTGTTATACAGTTTTGTAAATTAGTGATTTTTCTCCTTCACTGATGTGCGCTAATGAGGCTGCAGTGATGGGCACTGATAGGTGGCACTGATGGACACTGATAGGTGGCACTGATGGGCACTGATGAGGAGGCACTGGTAGATGGCACTGATGGGCATTGACAGGCATCACTGATGGGCACTGAAAGGCAGCACTGATACATGGCACTGATATATGGCACTGTTAGGCGGCACTGACGCGCACTGTTAGGCGACACTGACTGGCAGCACTGATAGGTGGCACTGATTGGCACTGATGGGTGACACTGAAAGGCAGCTCAGAAGGGAACTGATATGTGGCATTGATGTGCACTGGTATGCACTGATATGTGGCACTGATGGGTACTGGCACGTGGCACTGATGAGCACTGACTGCTGGCACTGATGGACACTGACAGGTGGCACTTCTGGGGCCACACTGATCATCAGGGCTCACTGATCATCAGTGCCCTGATGATCAGTGCACATGTCCCCTCTGCGCAAAGCCGATTACCGGCTCTCCTCTCTGACAGCTTGAGAGGGAGAACTGCTGATAACCGGCATTTCCGTGTTTACATGTGATCAGCTGTGATTGGACACAGCTGATCACATGACCGCTCTTCATGTCCGAGGGACACAGCGCTCCCGCGATCGCCACGCTGCACGCTCCCTGAGCCGCGCATGCGCGGTGAAAATGGAAGGACGTCATATGACGTCCTATCAGAACGAGAGAACCGCCTTGCACCCGTCGTACTATATGGCGGGTGGAAGGTGGTTAAAGGATTGTTGACCGTTCTATTAAACGTAGTTTGTAAGTTTCTGCAGCGAAGCGGAGATGGACACATCTTAAGATTTGGCTCCGGAGCCTTAGACCTTAAAGCAAGAGCTGGTCCCCTTACTTCAGTTAATATCATACCGGCCTCTACATCATTTTTTTTTTTTTTTTTACTTTGTTAAAGAATGTGTAAACCCAACATTTCATATTCCTGATATGTGCCTGCTGTGTCATGTACTTGTATAAAAAAGTATCCTCTTCCCTTTGTATTTGCTTCCTTTGTGTGATATCCCTGCTCTCCTCCAATGATCAGACTTGTCCTAACAGATACCCCCACCACATACACAGCCTTTCATTGGGTAGATTAGTGTACTGCCATTTCTCCCCCCAACCCAGCCCCCTCCACTCTGATGCAGCTAAGAACAGAGGGAAAAAGGTATTTATAATTAATATATGCACAAATGTTTTGCCTTTTTGTTTTTATTTTAAACTGACTGGGTTGTTTTTACAAGGTGAAGCTTTACATATACTTTAATACACTTGTCTATTCCCAGCTCAAATAGAGCTTGATTAATTTACAAAAAAATAAAAAAAAGTAAAGCATTGTTTTCATGCAACGGAAAATATTAAGACTGTACATACAGTATGGTGTCACCTGTATTTGTGGATCTAGTGTATTCCAGGAGGACTCAAACTCTTCATAGGTGGCTCTGGCACTTGCATTGTAATGCATTTTAGTATGGTTTGCTTAAGAGACCCTGTAATCTTGACCATGCAGGGCAAAGTGACCATGTCTCTGCAAAGGGCCCCCCAACCAACTTATACTCCCTTCCCCATTCAACTGTTGGCTAAGTAAAAGACCCATTTACTGCGTATTCAATCGACCTGGTAGAGTGGGGGAAGATTACAACCTCAGACTTGGATTTAATGCTGTCTGTGTCCCTGTTGAAAAGATCTCCTCTGCGTTCTGTCCCATTGTCCCCTCTAATGCTGCCCTTGCGGACTGCAATTTTTCAGGCAATTTTAACCAGCTTTCAATTAAGAGGACTAAAGCGACACAACACAAAATATTTTAGTTGAATTAAATTCACTATTTAAAGTGTTACTAAACCCCGGACCCTGCATTCACTATATTTGGTCTCCCCGGACCCTGCATTTCACTATATCTGGTCTCCCCTGGACCCTGCATTCACTATATCTGGTCTCCCCTGGACCCTGCATTCACTATATCTGGTCTCTCCCCGGACCCTGCATTCACTATATCTGGTCTCCCCGGACCCTGCATTCACTATATCTGGTCTCCCGGACCCTGCATTCACTATATCTGGTCGCCCCGGACCCTGCATTCACTATATCTGGTCGCCCCAGACCCTGCATTCACTATATCTGGTCGCCCCAGACCCTGCATTCACTATATCTGGTCTTCCCGAACCCCGCATTCACTATGTCTGGTCTCCCCTGGACCCCGCATTCACTATATCTGGTCTTCCCGGACCCTGCATTCACTATATCTGGTCTTCCCGGACCCTGCATTCACTATATCTGGTCTCCCCGGACCCCGCATTCACTATATCTGGTCGCCCCGGACCCTGCATTCACTATATCTGGTCTCCCCTGGACCCCGCATTCACTATATCTGGTCTTCCCGGACCCCGCATTCACTATATCTGGTCTTCCCGGACCCCGCATTCACTATATCTGGTCTTCCCGGACCCCGCATTCACTATATCTGGTCTTCCCGGACCCCGCATTCACTATATCTGGTCTTCCCCGGACCCCGCATTCACTATATCTGGTCTTCCCGGACCCCGCATTCACTATATCTGGTCTTCCCGGACCCCGCATTCACTATATCCGGTCTTCCCGGACCCCGCATTCACTATATCGGTCTCCCCGGACCCCGCATTCACTATATCCGGTCTCCCCGGACCCCGCATTCACTATATCCGGTCTCCCCGGACCCCGCATTCACTATATCCGGTCTCCCCGGACCCCGCATTCACTATATCCGGTCTCCCCGGACCCCGCATTCACTATATCCGGTCTCCCCGGACCCCGCATTCACTATATCCGGTCTCCCCGGACCCCGCATTCACTATATCCGGTCTCCCCGGACCCCGCATTCACTATATCTGGTCTCCCCGGACCCCGCATTCACTATATCCGGTCTCCCCGGACCCCGCATTCACTATATCCGGTCTCCCCGGACCCCGCATTCACTATATCCGGTCTCCCCGGACCCCGCATTCACTATATCCGGTCTCCCCGGACCCCGCATTCACTATATCCGGTCTCCCCGGACCCCGCATTCACTATATCGGTCTCCCCGGACCCCGCATTCACTATATCGGTCTCCCCGGACCCCGCATTCACTATATCCGGTCTCCCCGGACCCCGCATTCACTATATCCGGTCTCCCCGGACCCCGCATTCACTATATCCGGTCTCCCCGGACCCCGCATTCACTATATCCGGTCTCCCCGGACCCCGCATTCACTATATCCCGGTCTCCCCGGACCCCGCATTCACTATATCCGGTCTCCCCGGACCCCGCATTCACTATATCCGGTCTCCCCGGACCCCGCATTCACTATATCCGGTCTCCCCGGACCCCGCATTCACTATATCCGGTCTCCCCGGACCCCGCATTCACTATATCCGGTCTCCCCGGACCCCGCATTCACTATATCCGGTCTCCCCGGACCCCGCATTCACTATATCCGGTCTCCCCGGACCCCGCATTCACTATATCCGGTCTCCCCGGACCCCGCATTCACTATATCCGGTCTCCCCGGACCCCGCATTCACTATATCCGGTCTCCCCGGACCCCGCATTCACTATATCCGGTCTCCCCGGACCCCGCATTCACTATATCCGGTCTCCCCGGACCCCGCATTCACTATATCCGGTCTCCCCTGGACCCCGCAGTCACTATATCCGGTCTCCCCCGGACCCCGCAGTCACTATATCCGGTCTCCCCCGGACCCTGCAGTCACTATATCCGGTCTCCCCCGGACCCTGCATTCACTATATCCGGTCTCCCCGGACCCTGCATTCACTATATCCGGTCTCCCCCGGACCCCGCCTTCACTATATCCGGTCTCCCCCGGACCCTGCAGTCACTATATCCGGTCTCCCCCGGACCCTGCAGTCACTATATCCGGTCTCCCCCGGACCCTGCAGTCACTATATCCGGTCTCCCCCGGATCCTGCATTCACTATATCCGGTCTCCCCCGGACCCTGCAGTCACTATATCTGATCTCCCCGGACCCTGCAGTCACTATATCTGATCTCCCACAGTACACACAACATGGAAATGCAATTATTTAGTAAATATAAATGGCTAAGTCTTGTGACTTCTATCTGTGTCCAGCACAACACTGGTTAACGCTTGTAGGAGGAGTTTTCATTGTGCTCTAGGAGGATGCAGAACCCTGTACCTCTGTCTGTACAGCACTGATTGGCCCTATGCTGATCACATGCACTCTCCCAAGAAAAAAGGAAAAACCTCTCTGGAGGAGGATCAGAGAAGACAGGATCAAACAGCGTTTTTACACGGTTAAACCCAAAGTGAGTACAACAAGCATGCTTTACTGCATATACAGACTGATTTTACTGTTGCGGGTTTAGTAACACTTTAGCTGTCATTGTAGGTTGCCTTGCTTAGTTTGCATGACAGGCCATTGTCACACACTAGGTCAGGGGTAGGCAACCTGCGGCTCTCCAGCTGTTGCAGGACTACAAGTTCCATCATGCCTCTGCAAGTCATAGCTGTAACTGTCAGTTTTGCAATGTCTCATGGGACCTGTAGAGTCATGCTTGTAACTTCAGGTCTTTGCAATGCCTCATGGGAATTGTAGTTCCACAACAGATGAAGTGCCGCAGGTTGCCCACCCCTGCACTAGTGGTGAGAGGCACAAGGTATTTTTTTCTTCTTCTTTCTTTAGCCTGTAAATATGTCAGCGCTGAGCGAACTATTAGCGCGTTATAAATACTGTATAATAATAATAATTTAAAGCAGATGTTTAGACTTTGCTTTGCAAAAACCTAGAATGGCATTCCCTTCACTTAACCTTCATAAGTAATACTGGGAGCCTTGCCTTGGTATTAATTTGGCTGATCCTTTGTGGCTCTAAGGAAATATGGTTGGAATGTTATTCTTAAGCTTCAGGTTATTAAAATGTCTAAGCAAAAAAAAAAAAGGGAAGGTGCTTAACATAAAGATCTCAGGCGGGTGCAGGTCTCTTGGCCAGATTCAGATATATGACCCAAGACGCCTTCCACTTCCCTGTCCCTGCTGGGGTATGTACACATGCAGTTCATGGAAAGGCAGCATTGTCAGCAGGACCATGGCAGCAGACAGAAGGAAAGTAACAAATGGATATCAGTAGGGATAAAGTAAAACAAATGTACATTTACCATGAGGATTTAAACTTTAAAGAGGACCTCTGGGCCTGTGTGAATTACACAGTGGAGCAAAGGCAGACTGACAACTCATGGGGCCCCCGGGCAATAGGGGATCATGGGGCCCCTGTGTCCTTGCCCAAACTCAAAAAAGCCTATGAAAAAGGTACCAGGGGCATCTCATGGGGTCCCCTACTGACCCCGGGCTCTCAGGCAGTGCCTGAGTTTCCAAATGGTCAGTCCGCCCCTGCAGTGGAGTGATCATTTTGGCCCAAAACATTGTAAAAGGATTAATGCACTTTTTTTCCCGGTAAAACATTTTACCTGAACTTTTTGGTCCTTCAGTTTTGCAGGAGGCATGGCATTAAAAAAAAAAAAGTAAAATAGTAAGATTTTTCATTCTATAAGGAATGAAGCAACAGTCATTTTACAACCCTGTGAACTACAGCTCTTTTTTTTTTTTCTGTGAATTGTTTGACCGTTTGCTGTTAATTGTATATTGATGGAGCGCTACTTTTGCTTTTAGTGCATTTCATGCGTCTCAGTTGCAGCTGTTTTGGCTACCATTTCCATTGTCCTCAATTCGTGAGATTTGCTTGCAGTCTGAAGAGAAAAAGCATATTAATATTGTCAAATGGTGGTTTATCGTAGCCTGTCTGTAGGATGACGTTTGATCGTTACAGTAGGTACATCTACATGTTTTTTATGGGTGCAGGAATTAGGATGCCAGAGATTACATTAAGGCTCCATGCACACTAGCTTTTTTTTTTTTTTTTTTTTTTTAAGCTCAAAAAACGCTGGATAAAAACTCTGGTAACAGTGTTTGTTTTTTAGTAGCGTTTAGGAGCATTTAGTGTTTTTACTGTACAAAAAAACTGGGAAAAAGCTGTTAGGTGCCATTCGGAAGCGTTCAGTGGTTTTTTGTTTTTTTTTGTTTTTTGCTGGAAAAACACTCCCAAAAAGTGTTCATGCACACTTTTTTTAGGCTAGTAGCATTTTTCAAGCTTCGGCATTTAGGAGCAGAAAAAAAAGAGTTTTTAGGAGCATTTTTCCAGCAGAACAAAACTCTAAACGCTCCTAAATGCTGGTAAAATGGTCGTAACAGCTTTTTTTTTTCTAGCTTTTTTTTCTTTTTTTCTTACATGTAGTGTAAAAATGCTACTAAAAACACTACAAAAAAAATTCTATTACCGGCTTTTTCTATCCAGCATTTTCAGGCATCTTGTTTAGCATTAAAAAAAACTAGTTTGCATGGAGCAAAAAACAAAAAACATTTTTTTCCCTGCTCCTAGGAGCAGAAACAAATGCTGATAACAGCTTCTAGGAGCTAGTGTCCATGGAGCCTTGGGTTTGCCTTTATTTAATTCAGGTACTTGTATAGCGTCATCAATTTACGCAGCGCTTTATACACTGCTCAAAATTTAAGAAACACTTTGAAAACAGATCAGATCTCAATGGGGAAAAATCTCCTGGATCTCTATACTGATATGGAGTGGGTAATATGTTAGGAACATAAGGGCTGCCCCATCGTTTGATGGAAATGAAAATTATCCTACAGAGGACTGAATTCAAAGACACCCCTAAAATCAAAGTGAAAAAATAATGCAGCAGGCGAGTCCATTTTGCTGAAAATTTCATTGCAGCAACTCAAAATGGTCCTCAGTAGATTGTATGGCCCCCACGTGCTTGTATGCATGCCTGACAACGTCGGGGGAAGCTTCTAATGAGACCACAGATGGTCCTGTCCTGGGGTATTTCCTCCCAGATCTGGACCAGGGCATCACTGAGCTCCTGGATAGTCTGAGGTGCAACCTGGTGGCATCGGATGGACCGAAACATGACATCCCAGAGGTGTTCTTTTGGATTTAGGTCAGGCGAGTGTGGGGGGCCATTCAATGGTGTCAATTCCTTCATCCTCCAGGAACTGCCTGCATACTCTCCCCACATGAGGCCGGGCATTGTCATGCAACAGGAGGAACCCAGGACCCACTGCACCAGCATAGGGTCACACAGTGGGTCCAAGGATTTCATCCCGATACCTAATGGCAGTCAGGGTGCCATTGTCTAGCCTGTAGAGATCTGTGCGTCCCTCCGTGGATATGCCTCCCCAGACCATCACTGACCCACCACCAAAAAATGGTCATGCTGAAGGATGTTACAGGCAGCATAA